TGAGTGGTTTCATTCATTATACTTGCGTAATTGGACAAAATACTAACTACTACTACAGAAGGGAATTAATTAAGATTGATATTAGCCAGTGTAATAACAATGATATCATGACGTACACGCAGCAAGAATGTCTTTTAGATTATTAGGACCGTATATATATATATATATTCGGGCGGTAATAGATAACTTAGCGTAGCAAGAATAAAAAGTTTCATTATACATTAAAATCGTTTTATCTTACATCCGCACAATGCTATTTGAAATTTCATATTATACTCTACGGAAATATTTCAATATAACTCTGCTACTGTGTAATTAAAAAATTAAATTACATCCTCGACTCTTTGAAACATTCGCGATTGCAACCAAAGTTGCATCTAACTTGCCTTTTCCAATGCTAAACTTTGAATCGTCGCCGCGAATAACATTCTTGGTCGCTCGTAGCCCATTCCGCCAACGCAGTCTCTCAATTGCAACTACTCATGACAGCGGTTTCGCTTCCAATACACGCGTCGACTGACTTCAAACAACGTCGGTACTAAAGACAGCTCCTGAGGCGCGCTCGATGCGCGAGTGAGCCTAAGTAACTCCGCAAAGTTCTCGAAGGTAAGAACCGAAACTCGCTCATACGCTCCAAATCGCCCTAGCAGCACGCTGTTCATTTAGGCGGTAATTCCGATCGTAAAATAAAAACTCACTAACCCGTTTCTGGCCTGAAATTAATTAAGCCACCTGCCTTACTGAGAACGTCAACCGCCTAATGCCATAACTGTGCTTCAGTAGATCAGCCTGCTGCGTATGCGCGCATCTATGCGAAGCACTTGCTCGTGATATTCCTGGCTTAACGTCGCCCTCATCAAAATTGTAATTAAACTCTATACACGTAGTTCTCGATTCGGGCGGCTAATGCGTTCACGACAGCTAGGCGTGTAAATAAATTCGCGCGGAACGAGTACAAGCGTAATTCTCTCACATTAAATGTTGGCGATCCTTTGTTGAGCGCGCGCGGCTCCAGTTTACGAATTCTCTCCGTTTTCACGGGTAGTTTTTTAACTCACTAATTGCGCAAGCCGAGAATTACTCCCACTCCCATCGTAAATTTAAACAAATTGCTTTATTTAACATGTATGCTGTAAATATGACATAACGTCTGTATTATATGCACCACAAATAGGATAAAATAAAATAATAATTATCAAAAAAAGTCTCATGGACTACGATTCATATGGAGTAGTCTCTAGGCCAGAAAACGTTAGAATCTCTTTTCTTATTTTTGCTATATGTACATTTATATGTAAAAGTTTCAATTTTTTATATAAAAATTATTATTTCATCTTGGCAATAGTAACAGAGGCATATTGATTATTTTCGTTCCAATCGTCCTGCTAATATTACAGATAAAATTATAAAATATGCAATTATTTCAATATTCATAAAAGAAATTATCTCTCTTCGCATACAAAATGCAGACGCCATTTATCGAAATTAGATCAATAATAGAAAGTAATATATTTTACTTTCCTCTCTTTTTTACATTCATGATTTTAAATTAAAATTTAATGAAATATATATATATATATCTGTTATACTACTTTGAAATCATGAGGTTTATTTATAATTATGATTAAATTAATAGAATATCGCGCGTATATAGAAATTGCTTCTCAATTTTTATATTAATTAATTACTAGTGAAGAAGAATGAATTTATTAAATTGATGTATTAATCTGAAACCAAAAAAATTAGATTCTTTTGTTATTCTAAAAGCAGCAAATTCGTTGATTCCCTACTTCCTCTAAACATTCATTCTTCTGTTTCCCATTTCGACCCCGCCGTTCTCGCCTTCCTCCCGGCAAACACAGCAATCGTCGAAAAAGCGTCGGGAGAAATCAAATGAGTTTGCACGAGAGTGACAATGGAGTTTCGCGACTGTAATCAAGCTACTACGAGTGGCGCGGGAAAAGGGACTGCCGTGGAGGGTGCAGGGATCGTCCTTCTCCGCGCATTTGAATTTCCACGCAAAGGGAAACGAGCTGCCACCGATAGCGTCTAGAAATCGTCCGCGGCGCGACGATAGAGACGTCGAATTAAGCACGATGCAGACCCTTAATTAAACGCTTGAAATTGAGCTATCGATTAAATAGCTCTCTACGGCGGGAACTTGTACTTTTCTTTAGCGCGTGCCAACAAAAACGTCTGAATTATTCGAATAGTAGTGGCGGCGCATATTTGCCAATTTATATTTTCCTGGATGTGAACGAAAAATGGCATAAAGTGTAGAAATAATTTAATTTCCCATTTTTATCTTTCTACTAGCAATATTAATTCCTCTTTGTCTCTCAAGTAAAAATTTTCTTTTCTCTTCAAGTAAATAAATGTAAAATGTGTAAAAAATGTAGGGATTAGCATTTTGTTTCTTTGCCATTATGAATGCAAAATATACTTGTTTGAGAGAAGAATAATCCTAAAAAAGTAAGATAACTGTGTATGCATAGTTGCGCATTCCAGTAATAAACGTTCCAACTTTTCTTTAGAAAGACATGACACCGTGGTAATTAAAACAATTTCATATGTAAAATGCACTACAGACGCAAGTACGACACAGTGCAGAAGCAGAAAATAAAGCAACGCATTAACATCTTTTACTCTTAAATAACTATATAAGCGTGCAGAATTGTGCGTTCTAGACTAATGGAAAACTTAAAAAAAAGCTATCTGTCCAAACTTGACGCTACCAATTTGCGCCATCGTTATTTCATGCCAGTTATGTGCAATGATTGTTACATGGAAGTATGAGCAATATATCGTAATTGCAACAAAATTTCTATATTGTTTATCGAAAAACTACAAAAAAACCGATTTAACGTGCCACAAAAATCTCTTCCTAAATTTTGTCAATAATGTGCGAAAAAAACGATCAAAATATATCTTAAGAAAATAACATTATTAGTCGTAGCGTTGTTAAACATAATTCCAATTATTTAAACAATTAACATTATAAAAGATCAAATACGATTTTATCAAACTGCGAGAATAAAAAATCGAGTATCTATAAACTTAAACATAACATGATAGAAATAAATATCGTAACTTGATATTCGCCTATTTACTGGTTGAATGTCAACAAGAACGCAAGCTGTCGTCAAAACAAGAAACGCGTATTATTCTCGGAATACGGGCGAGACGTCCGTCGTTGTTATCCCATCGCAGATATTATCTCACCACTCTTTTGTCCACGGTGTGGTACGACGCGGTGTGGTGGTGCGGCGTCGTGCGGCACGAGCGCCGAAACGCAACGAGAAATAACCAGCGGGAGAGTTGCTTTAGGAAGGACTTTTCCGCGCTTTACACACACATTAATCGTCACCCTGTTTTCCGCTTACCCAGCTGAGTCTCCTCGCTTGAAAGCGCGAAGCACCCGCGGTGTCTTGGCGAATTGCCGCCCCGAGTGAGAGACAGATATTTATCATGCACTCATTGTTACAATAGATATTAAGATGATATAAATTTCGTTATATTTTTTCGACGAATTTTTGGGCTAATCTTCTCATTAAAGAAAGTACACAACATTACGTTTACCGGTCATCAATTCTAAGAAAATTTATAGCAATAGTCTAGAATTTGTAGCAATTTTTAATATGTATTTTATATTCGTTATTCTGATAAAATTAGAATAAAATGTGCTGTTCGTTTCATAGAAACGACTTCAAAATGAAGAAAGCTCTCTTATTTTTATGAAAATAAGTCAGTCGTAAAACCGGTTACGCACAATTGATAAATACGCATATATATGTTCAATCGCTTTCAAAGAGTATCTGTTATCGCGCTGTTAGAAAAATATTTGCGATATTTACGAAAGCCGAGAGAACGATATCGGAATTTATCGTAAGTTGTTTTCATGATTCTGCGAAAAAACAATTTTGATCAGAATCCTATCCAACATTTATTTTGAAAAGATTAACATCTATTTAAAGAGATAAAACAAACATTTCGGGATAATGTATTCGTCGCATGACGACCACGCGCAATATACGCATACACGCGAGACCCACGTTTCCAGTTCTCTCAACATCCGAGCGATTCTCATTCCGATACATGCGATCGTTTACCTGTTATCATAAAGAGAGCCACGGCCGCTTCTAGCCACAGGTGGTGAGTCTTCATCTCGATAGTGTCCAAGCTTAGTTCTCGGAACGTCGGTTCTTCGGCGGTCACCGCCGGATGCAGTTCAAAAGCGCACTGACACCACTCGCGCAATAATCTCTGCGGTTAGGTCACGTAAGAAAAACTATGCGGAACTGCACGCCACCACATCTGCCTCTGTTACGAAACACTTTTTTTCCTCGACGATTGCAGTCACTAGAACGAACAGTTGTTCCACATCCGCGAACTAAACCGGTGGCGGTACAAACCAATGTCTTAACACTCACCGCGCGCTACCGGAGCGATAGTGCACCGGACTCGCTGTCCTAACTTGACAAACTTTACACTTGCGGTCCCTTCGCCCCTTCGCCCCTTCGCGACGGAGAGAACGGTCAAATCACCGTCGTCGTTGAACTTATCTCCGCGCGCCGCGTGCTTCGAACTTTCCTATCGCTCTACGGTTTGCTTCCCCGTTTTTTTTCTTTTTCTTTTCTTTCCGGCAATCGCAGCGCGGAATGTGTCGCGATCGACGGCGGCTCGTCGGCGAACGTTATCGATCACCGCGTGCCAACGAGCGCGGCACGAGCACGAACGAGGATTTTAAGCACTGTTGACAGGGTAATTGCACGTATATCTGCACTGGATTGCGACGGACGAGACTGAGCGTCGCCGCGCGAAGCCGTTCTGTCGCGAGTCGCGCTTGCGTCGACCGCCCTTTCTTCCCCACCAGAGCGCATCCCCACGATCTCGCTACCCCCTCCGCTTAGCCTCCACGCTCCTTCGTTCCTTCCGCCGTCCCGCGTGGGTTATCCTGCTCCCACCGTAGCCGCGATCCCGTTTTCTCGTCTTCTCCTAACGCTCGCCTCCCGAACGCGTTCCGCGCCGTCACGGGCGGCTCGCACCCCACGGAGCACGCACACGGTTCTGAATCCGCGCGTGATCTTATTCCACACCTCCATCACGCGGGAGGACGGCAGCCGGCGATTCCGAAGCCCTTCAGATTCAATTTGTCGGTCGGCCGAAAGTTTTTGTTGAATGCGGTTTGTTACGTGTCATCACTCGGCTGGCATTAGGGCCATTGTCGGCGTGCGCCACACGCTGGTGCAGAATCCTTGATACTGCATAACCGCCGCTCCCCTGCCGATACGGCACACATTCGTTAGACATTCCGATTCTCGGATCTATCTTGGCTAATCTTATCCGAGAGAAAATGGTGTAATATGGTCAGATGTACATATATATAATTAGTTATGAAAAGATCTAATAATATATGTAATTTTATATGATCATATAAAATTCAGATCTTTTTATAACTAATTGTATATATTTACATCTGACCAATTATACCATTTTTTTCTCGGGTAGTTTCATGCGTAAAATACAAATTAAAGTTAGATATCACGCGGTTTGTCGTTTTGTCTTATTAAAAATTAATTTTAAAATTCAGAAACGATTTCTGTCAACAGTACATATAATACATATACGGTTTTTTTTTTTTTATTCGTGTAGTTTATATATATTTACACAAAAAACGTAATGCTGTGGATATTGTGTAATATATTTTCTTTTCAAAAATATTCTAGTTTTTTTGTTATTGTCCTACAGTCGTGCGTAAAAAAAGTATAGTCCACCCATATTCGCGTTGTTCAACATCGAACTTCGATGCGATACGCCGAAAATATACACGTACGTATGTTGTTCCCTGTACTCCAGAGTTGATCTTCGCGGTGCTTGCAGAGCGGATTGCGTTGCCCGCAGGCGCCACGAACTGCGTAACGACGTATTCTGATCGCTCGCTCAGGGCCACATTTCGAAAACACTAGAGTTCTATTTATGCACGAACCCAACCAAATCGACATAATATATGCCATACTAGATGCCAAAGGTTGTAGGTCAAGTGACATAATTTCATTCAAGAATCAAAGATGCGTTGATGTCCGTATTGATGTAAACAAAAGAATTTATTTATCATGTCTCCGAAAATTTTCTAGATAAAAGTTCTAGAATATCTCTTTATGATAATGCAATTACAAGAAGCTATGATTTGTTTCGGCGTAGATAATATGTAAGATAGCGTTGAAAGTTATGGTAAAATAAATAAGATGCCACTGCACATGAATCATACACTATTGAATCGCCGTATTGCTCCGCTTTGTGCTACTCCGGCAATTGTAGTTAGAAATGAGCAGATATTTCAGCACACAATAATACGGATCGGGTCATTACGCGCTTCATCTTTCAAGTATATTTCATTCTTCGATCAATTGAACGTATTATGCCGAACAGCAACGGTTAAAGCTGCGCGTTAATTTGACGAAATTGCACTCCAGTTACATTAATTGCTTATTGTCATTGTTTCAGACGCGATTAAGCTTTCGGATGTTTGCAAGATTTCTGTATCTTCTAAGACTATGAAAGTTTGTTGAGAAATTTCATTTCTTCGAAGCAATTTCAATTTCGCGTAGCTCTACCGTTGCATAATAATATTCGCCATAGAAACTTTACTAAAATTAAAAATAAAGTCAGCATTAAATCGAGTTGGTGTAAAGATAACGATATTAGCGTAATGTAAACTGAGCCATTCTTGACATCTGTAAGATAAATGTCGACAATTTCATTAAAATAAGTATATCATTAATTTGCAACTCTGTTGCATCTTGATCTGTTGTGCTTTTGAACTTGATTTACGCCACTTTCGGGATTAACAGCTCAATTACTTCCGCGAAACTTAGCCGCAATTCACGCTGCGGTATCTCGTATATCTCATTAATCGAGCGATTACGCGTTTAATGAAGTGCAAACGTCTAAAATGTACTTCGAAATTAATTGGCGCGTGATTATTCTTAGATGCAGTCAAACTTTCGTCGGATATCTTGTGCGCGATGGGATTCTCAAGTTCGCTATGTAAGGCTTTAGATTAGAGCGGATAGTTCTGTTCGGATTTACGTGTGCAAGAATTTCCCGAGTAACTGTACAGATACGAAAGTTTCGGGTTGTTTAGAGACTCGCATCGATTGCGCCAAGATTTGGTGGTAACAATATAAAAGTTAGGAAAGGTAATATTTTCTCTCACTTGCGTTAGGAGTGAAAATCAGTCAATGAAAGCATGTTGAAAAATGATCTGCGTTTCCATACAAATTTAGATTCTGAACGGTGAAGTAAGAATATTATTCGTCTTCACTAGTGCGGATATCAAACGGCACTTGGCGCCGCGCATTCATGAATCTCCGATGCGCGATTTGCTGCTTAAACATGAAATCGCCGCAGGAGCGTCATGGACCGGTCAGCACGCTCTTTATGGCGGTACATCTACGCCCGCAATTTATCTTTCCCCTCTGCGCGCTCTACTGCGCTGCCTTTTCCTTTGTCGCTTTTCTTTTCTCGCCTCCTCGTCTCCGGTTTTGCTCCCTCGTCCCGTGATCTTGACCCCGGAAGCGCCGCGAAAGAAGGGCGCGTAAGCGGGGAGGCGGAAGAGTGCAAAAGAGGAGAAGGGAGAAGACGGTTGAAATATCACGAAGACATCATTCGTTACCGCTGCGTCGTTTATCCGTATCGCCACCCTCCTTACGACCGTATAAAACAGCTTTCCATCCTCATTCATGATGACGGCACACAGCAACGACATAGCACGACCGAGCCGACCGGCCGAAAGCCGCATCGCGAGTCGAGATTCGCAAGATCGCACTTTAATAGGATAGCGCGAGCGAGGAGAAAAAGGAGGAACGAAAAGGCGAGGGAGAAAACAGGACGCTTTTTTCGGCCCGAGCCCCGGCCCGGCGGCATTACTCTCACGAGGACAGGAAGCACCGAGGCGCTAGGCGGAGGGTTGAGACCCCTGAATTATCGCGTGGAGTTATTTCTTCTTTCTATATATCGTTCTTTACCTCGGGCGCGCACACGTACGAAACACAGGGCTGGCACTGCGCGCGGGCGGACACGGCGCTAGCCCGAGCTTGAAAAACCCGGGAAAATTATTACAAGCTACAAACACGCAGTATACAAGCAATGTTTATATATACGTCGTTAGAGCACTTGCTTTTTTTTTTTTTTTTAATGTACATTCTACACTTTTAACTAAACACGCGAGACTCTCGATCATTCGTGTATTTTTAACAAATTCAAGAAGAATAAATTGTATCGTAATTAAAAATATACTCATATATGCATATATGTATGTAATTATCAGAGTGAGAATGCAATTTTCCGCTTTCTTTACAAAAGACGAGCATCGCGATTTGATCTATTTAAAACCGTCCCTGGTCGCGAGTGTCTCGGTGCTATATGTCGCTGTTGTTGGTTCCCGGGGCCGAAATGTATGCGTTACCTACGAACCGGAGGATGAAAGTTATGCGTTTCGCCGCACGGTCCACCGAGAGATATCGGGAATAGAGTCGGTTGGAAAGAGGGAGATATGTAAAAAACCGCAACGCACATCGCACCCGCCAGAAATATTGGATGACGCGCCACGTACACTTCGGCGACCATCGAAGCCTGGTCCGCTTTTGTTTTTTTGTTTTTTTTCCCTCGTTCTCTTTTTTTTCTCCCTTTCTCGCACGATGTATTTTACGAATGCTTGGATTTCAGCCGTTTTGTCCGCCCTCGACGCCGAACGGCGCGGCGCGAAAGAGATTGTATCACAGTCGCGAAAATCTTTCGCCAAACTTTCTCGAGTGCCACAGGGATGCCTGCGAGAAACTTTCCTGTTTATGGAGAATTGATAAACGCGGCGTGCGGCAACGGAAAAAAATGCTGTTTGCGGAGTTCACTCGAGAGTTTTCCGGTTGGATTAAAAATATGCGGTTTAAACGGTACGTGGTTCTGCGAGAATAAATATTGAACGCACGTCCGTCATGCGTCTTTATTCGCAACCGATCTCGCTCACATAGGAAAAGAGGATAACATACGTATTATTTCTGCACTTTGTTTTAGAAAAAACGTTAACAGCGTATACATACGCGAACAGTGATATGAAATTCTTGGAAACGGACAGGTCTGTCGACGGTTTCCTGATTTCTTTTTTCCCCAGTTAATTACTAAGTGTAACGCGTATTAGATAGAAATATTCATTATAAAAATCTTTAAATAAGAATTTTTCTTGTTTATAGTACGTGATAAAGTACAAATAAATCTTTCTTAAAACAGATTTTATAATTTATGTAATTATATCACGCAATTGGCAGCAAGTAATACAAATGAAATAAATGATATTAATGATTTTAGAATCAATAAATTATCAAGATTTATTTGAGAGGCAGTGAAAGATATGTAAAAAAATTTATTATCCTGATAAAATTGACTATTTTCTTCTCTTGAAATGTGCGCGCGGTAATAAAATATCTTTAGTTCGATTTAAAAGTGATTTATCGAGCGTAGGGAATTTCTTATCGCGCGATACGTCATACCTGTAAAAAGTGCAACGAACGATTCCTCAACACTATGTGCTCGAGAACTGCAGTTCTTATGCAAAAAGGAGAGATATTGAATGCGTCAGCGCGCGTGCAAATTTCTAACGTTACGGTAGCGGAAGTCGTGACGACAACAGTTTTGAAAGTGGCGTTTCAGCCCTATGTACGCAGCTTTATAGACATACTGCGCGCACGATGCTGGAATAACAAATGCTCGAGAGACCGTTTCCTCGCTATGGTCTTCTGCGCGCCGCAGCGGCGATTTATCGTC